TATACTAGAACCTCATAATGGTGAACAAAAATAAAAATTGAAGGCACATAATTCCTAGTCTGAGTAGTCTCTCTCTTTTTCTTTTTATTTTAGATGAACTACTGGTCACTTGTTTTATGCCTTTCCTCCTTTTTATCATTGCTTTTTACAGGGGAAAATGGCACGATCGATGGGCAAGGAGGCGTCTGGTGGGGCATGTGGAGGCAGAGAACTCTCAAGTTTACCAGGCCAAACCTTATTGAGTTAATGAACTCTAGAAATATAATAATTTCAAATGTTATATTCAAGAACTCACCCTTTTGGAACATACACCCCGTGTACTCAAGGTAACTACTTTACAAAAACTCCTGCAAATTTCTCTCTTCATTTAGCAGCTACAGTTGATGAACATATAATCTTTTTTATCATTGCCTTACCAGCAATGTCGTGATTCGATATGTCACCATACTGGCCCCTGCCGACTCTCCCAACACTGATGGAATTGATCCAGGTACGAAAAATCCGATGTTGGTAAATTATACTCCCTCCTATTTTTATTATTTGTCACTCTGGCCTTAATTAATCATTGATTAAATAAATGTCGTTTGTCTATTTTGTTAATATTTCCTCCATCTAATACGCAGTGTCTCTTCATATCCCATCTCCATCGTTTCCCATAACATCCATTAAATAGGGTTAATATTGGCAAGAAAAAAAATTATTAATTAGCGTGTTGTTTCTCGAAATAATAAATAATAAAAATAGGATGGAGTATCAATTTAGGCACATTTTTGTCATGCTTTATTAATAATTTAATATCCATGTATGAATCTAATGTAAAAGTAGGAGAAAGATGATATGAAGTGATGGTTAGTTAAAATCATGTGAGTGGATGAATTGTACTAAATTAAAGTAAATGTAATGTGTAAGAATGATTGAATGATATTTGTGGCAGACTCGAGCTCCCACGTGTGCATAGAGGACTCGTTCATCTCGACTGGTGATGACCTCGTGGCCGTGAAGAGTGGGTGGGACGAGTACGGCATTTCCTACGGCCGCCCGTCCCATGGCATCACCATCCGCCGCCTCACCGGCTCGTCCCCGTTCGCCGGAATCGCCGTCGGCAGCGAGACTTCCGGCGGGGTGAACGACGTCCTCGCCGACCACATCACCCTCTTCGCCACTGGAATCGGCATCCACCTCAAGACCAACACCGGCCGAGGTGGAATCGTCCGCAACATAACCGTGTCAAACGTGTACTTGGAAAACGTGCGCACCGGAATCAAGATCTCCGCAAATGTTGGGGACCACCCAGACGCGGGTTACAATCCCAATGCTCTACCGATTCTAAAGGACGTGGTGATTAGGGACGTGTGGGGAGAAGGGGTGGGGCAGGCGGGGTTGATCCATGGTTTGAAGGATGCGCCTTTTACTGGGATTTGCCTGGCCAATGTTCATCTCGGAGGGAAGCGTGGGCCCGGAGATTGGCAGTGCTCGGACGTGAGTGGGGCTGCGGTGCGGGTTAGCCCGTGGCCGTGCGCGCAGCTTAGTGGGCCTCGTTTGGGGTACGGAGCGTGCTCGTCTTCTTTCTGATTTTGGCACGTGGTAATTGGTTTGTTTATCTGTTATTTTTTGGGGTAAAATGTGTTTTCCAAGTGTTGAGAAACTGAAACTGTGCTCTGGGATTCAGAGGTTTTAATTTCATGTCTTGATTGAATTGTATTGATATAGTATTGCCAAAATCTTCATTGAAATTAATTCAAGCTGAAGGGAAATAAGTACACAGATAGTCACCATAACTTCCAACGCAGAAAGCTTCTACTTTTTTAATACAACATAGAAACAGAGACCCAAATCTTATTCATGTAGCATGATTATTTTAGAAGAAAGTACAAGATTCTCTTATTTACTACTACTTTTGAGTTTTGAGCCAAATTGTTACTCCATCCAAGTCACAAACAGGGGTGTTCTAGAAATATTGGTCCAAGAACTTGCGCACGCGCCTCATAAATACGCCATTCTTCTTCAACTTCGTTTCTTCCTCCTCATTCTCTAGTCTCTGACTTTTCTTCAATTTCTTCAAAACATTGATTTCTCTCTCCCGTTCGGACACAATCTGCTTGATTCGATTTAAATCCTCGACATTGCGGCTGTCGTGACCCTGCAGACCCATCCACCGTCCAGAGATCTTCCGGCCTCCGCCGTACACCACGGGCACCTCGAAGTCGCTGTTCTCGCCGGAGGTAAAGATCACGTCGTCTGCGACAGAGATCTGATTATTTTCCTTCGTTTTCCGGTGGATCTTGTGGATGTGGATGCAGGATCGACTTAATCGGACCGGAAACCGGCGGTTGATGGCCCGGAAAGTGATTTTGTTCAGTGGCACGGTGGGGACGTTGATTCTGTTGAGCTGCTTTCCGTGGTTGACTGGAACCTTGTGGACGGCGGCACGGGAAGAGACCGCGTCATCAACAGGCGGCGCGTGTTCGGCGAGTGAGAGGGATAATAAGCAGAAGAGGGCGGCGACGGTGGGACTGGATTTAGCCATGGTGGAGGTTTACGATTTTTTCAGTCGAGTTTAGTTTAATATGGGGCGATTTTGGGGACTTGAATATTNATATACTTTGAAATATTGAAACACTTTTCATATTTATTAGCAAATTGCAATTAAATAGTAAATAAAAATATATATCATCTTAATATTACGAATATAAGCAGTCTAGTCGTAAATTTTAATACGTCAAGGTAATATATATATATATATAAATATATATATATATAAGTCTCTATATTTAATAAAAAGAAGTTTAAACACTGTTTATTTCTTAATTTTTTATTGAGATCCATTGGTCCCATATTGATACCTGTATAATTTTGTTGTAAATTGCCGAGTTTGTCCTTGATTTTGCAGTTTTTCTTATTTCTTTTTATTCAACATATTAGAATGTTCCTGGTTTTTTGTTTTTTTATTTGGTTGGTTTTTGGGAACTCTGTATTGGCACCAAAACCTACACACAATTATTCTCAAATTGCTCTTGCCCCCAAAATCTTCCCACCGTCGCCTCAGCACTCCCTGTCAAATTTCTCCACCTTTCTTCAGATTCTTCTTGCTTCATTTGTTATTATTAACAACGAAGGTCTTTTCTTCAACCATTACTGCAAAAGCCGAGATTTGTGAATGCCAAGGTACAAAAGCAAATGGGATTTAAATGCGGCACCGTAGTCAAATTCATATCCGGCCAAGCCGCCTGAGAAACAGCTCATCCTCGACCTCAAAAGCAACCTTAGCTACGACGCCTCCCTCTCAACCAAGCTACTGCAGTGGACTTAATCAACCAACCACTGTCAATGGCTCGGCGTAAAATATGACTCTCGAAATTGCTTTTCCGACCTCGATCTTAGCCCCGAAGAAATTTCTGGGGGGATTAACCGAGCTCGCGCACCTCGAAACCCTAAATTTGGCACAAAACAACTTTTATCGATGGAGCTGCAGTCGGCATTCGGGATGCTCGCGAATTTGAGGCGCCGAATCTGAGCAACTCGGATTTCGCGGGCCGGGCCCGCCGGATTTATAACGAGGTTAGTCGTTCTGTATTTTGAGGGCCGTAGTCATCTTCCTTGCAGTCTGAGCTTGGCCAATTCTTATCTCACGGGCCCTTTCGATTCGTCTTTGCTAAGCTTTCAAGATCTTAAGTTTTTCGATTACACACATAAAGATTGGTATCCACCATAACTTTTTGGTTAAATTAATAAATATTTTAAAATTGAACAAGTTGAATTGAAATCTAGAAGATTGGTACTCTCAAGTCTCAAGTCATTGGCTAAATATTTCTAAATTTGTAGGTGTGCATTTAGTTTGCTCTATCAATATCCCAATAAATGATCTATAGACTATTATTATGGACATTTTAATGGTAGCTAAAATTTGTGCATGTGAGGTTTCATGAAAGAAAATAAATAGCTTCATATTTCTGAGATTTATATTTAAATCAGTTTTATAGAATATGTGAGGGGAAGATTTTAAGTTTGAGAGAATCTACAAGAAAATAAGTCTTGTATTGATAATTTGAGATGATGCGTCACTCATTATTTTTTTTATGAGATTTCGTCAATTTCATGTTCTTCTTTTTTTTTCTCCTTTGATCTTTTTTTAACAAGTTGTGAACTTCGAAACTGCTCATACAGATGAAGTCTAAAGGATTGACCATGATGGTTTTACTAGCCCAAGAAACCGCCCTTGTTTTGGCCGAACATCCAGTTGTGAACTTTATAGCTAGAGAGAGTAAAATCATTACGTATAACAACCATATCAACATACTGCAGTTGTTGTAGCCACTGATGGTGGGTTAATTACACCCGTCCTTCAAGATGCTAAGTGCTTCAAGATGCTGACAAGGTTAACCCTTCATCAAGTTTTTCAGTTCTATTTTAGTGATTTTTTTATTCTTTTAGCCTTGATATGTTAGATTGTAACAACACTAACTTGTTTTTCTCATTTTTCTCTTAGATTGACATATAATCGTCATCGAGATATTGGAAGGAATTGGTTGATAAGGCACGATCAAAGCAGCTCCAACCTAATGAGTCCAATACATGTAACTCGGTTGTGTGTTGGCTCGAACCTGCTTGGATGATTCAATTTACTTCTATAATTACTGCAAATCACCATCTTCGATATATTCCTTTTGTTACATTAATTCCTGGGCATGCTTATTTCATTGTTTTCTAGGCATTTTTACTGTGTCTAACCTTGGACCTTGGAATGTTTGGGGTGGACCGTTTTCATGCCATCTTGCCACCAGGAACTGTAAGTATATTATCTTAAGTATATTTCATTTTATCATTAAAAATGTGTTGCCGTAAAAAGAGAATTTGTTAGTAATTGAGGAAATTTACAAATGTTTTAAATGGAATCCAACTAGGCAAGTCGACAGTTGGTTTTGAAAGAATCTCTTGCTTTCATATGCTTTCCAGATTAATTACCATGTGAAATTTCATTTGGCCAGGATATATTGCAAATTGAAGGAATATTTACAGATTCTAAATGTATGCATCTTACTAATTTACTTTTAAAGAATATTTATATCAGTTTTTCTATGAAGCCAACAGTTGGCTCCATAGTGGAGCCAACCTTCTATATACAACAAGTAATCCATACCATATTAATAATACTATTAGAATTCATTTAAGTAATCAGAGAATATGGTATGGTTTATTTGTTGTATATAGAAGGTTTACCTCAACTGTTGGCTTCATAGCAAAATTGATATTCATATTGTCATGCATACATTTATCTCTCTCTCCGTAATATTTCACGATACCTTTTTATATAATAACATGAGGTAAGATCGTCAATTTATTTTGTTTTTAATCTTGAAATGCTACTTTCTAATCTCAAAATTTAACTTTTCAATTTAATTTAACAGAAAACACATGCACAACACTTACAATGTTTTCTATTTTATGATAAACATTATGTTTTTGCTTCATTGGCTTCTTTTTCCATCACCGTGCCTACTGTGAGTTCTAAGATAATTCAGACATATTTTGAATTATGAAACAAAAATGAATCTGTAGTGTTTCTTAGTCAAAAATTTTGATTAAGCAAAATACATCGTAGTCTTGGTCAATTTTGGAGATTGTTGTATATTCTTTTCATTTTTATTTTTTATAATGATTTCTTGTAGACATTCGAAAAAATGTTTTATCTGCTTAAATTCATAAGTTGAACTTAATTTGATCATTCTTATTATTTCTTATGAGCAGGAAATGATGCTAGCAGTGCCAAAAATTAGGGTAGATTTGTGTGCAGGTGGAAGATTATAAGTCCTTTTTTTAACAATGTACAGAAAATTTTTGAAATATCATGAATACTATGAAAAATCATATGAGCTAGGGATTTTGTTGTTCTATTAGCACATTAGTATTTGTTATTTTTCATTTTTTATAAAACAATTAGCATGGGCCGGCCGTGCAAAAGATTTGTGTACAGGTGGAAGATTACATGTCCCTTTTTTTAACAATGTACAGAAAATTTTCGAAATATCATGAATACTATGAAAAATCATATGAGTTAGGGATTTTGTTGTTCTATTAGCACATTAGTATTTGTTATTTTTCATTTTTTATAAAACAATTAGCATGGGCAGGCCGTGCATCCTAGTTTATATTATAAAAACTATCATACTTTTATTTAATTTTTTATTTTAAAGTATGATATTACAAAAGTATGTATATTTATTGAAAGAATATGACTACAATATTCACAACACAAACAAGACTAGAGAGTAGCTGCTCAACCAATTTTACAGCCAACAGCCAAATAAAATAGTTGAACATTTGACTCTAGTTGGGAGAATTACACATACAGACGGCAACCTAGAATCAACCTAACCACACAAAAACAACTAAAACGCTTCCAAGGGGAGAAAAACAAAAGCCCTCACAAGTGGAGAATACACCAAACTCCCAATGGGAGAGAAAAAATAAAACACAACCTAAACAAAACAAAAGAAAACACACAAACACGAGCAACAAACTAAACTCAATCAAAACACTCCTTCCTACAACCGGCACAACACCAAGAATCTCGCAAGCGGCAAAACAGTCGACCAGCCCACCGAACCGAACTTCGCCCCTAGAAGCTACTCCAGAAACTGCCTAATGCCTAACTGGACCCGCACCCCCAGAACACGACTCAAGTCCAGGCGGTCGACCACAACCCACAGCTGGAGGAAAGCCGGCCTCATCCCCTCACACCTGCCACTCCTACCCCAGCCCACACCCGCCACTCCCCACCCCAGTCGGAGGAAACTGCCTTATGCCTAATAAAACAAAGTCGTCATTAGTTAAACAACTCTAATGTATAACTGTTATTATAATATAAATTCTGACAAATGTCATTTAACTAAATCCATGGATGTGAATAACAAAAGATAATTGTTAAGTTGCAATTTTAAAGCTCAAAAATTCTCTCGAAGCACAATGTAATCAAAAATAATGTCATCTACTTGTCCCAAATAAAATAAAACAAAAAAATTACAAATAAGAAAAAAAAATCAATTAAATAATTAAATATCTTGAAATTCTTAATATTATTTCTCTCGCTTCTCTCCATTGGTTAATCTTTTATGATATTATAGAGTGTTGTAAAGTCTATTTATTACACTAATAAGTCACTTCACTATTAACTTTGTCAAATTAAATTGTTATATAGATGCCACATAAGAAGCAATGAACCATTGCATTGGACATGTTTTATGATGTGATTGTCTTCTCTATATTATAGATATTAAATACGTTCATCTGATTACTATATTTGTGATCACAATGCACATTGAAGAATTAAAAGTGAATATATTACTAATTTTGTTGACATGAGTATAATTTAGTATAATAACATTTGAGCATTGAATATCTAATACCTACCAAACTAAACATTGCTCTTGAAACTTGTAACGTCTATAAATGAACTTTTTTGAAGATCCAACGATGGAATAAAAATGTCAATAATTTTAATTATTTGAGGTAGCTTTTAATAGCTAACTATATATGTTAGCTATATTTTTTTCACTATTTCATTTGTCAAAATGGAGTGATTAGATTTAGCGGGGCAAAGAGAGTTGTCCGCGTTGGGTGGGTGTAGATGGTACGCCACTGACACAAATAACATTACCATACTTGAAAATTGATCTGACCCTTTAATCTTCATGTTTTTAGGTTTTCACATTACATTCGATAAAATTACAATACATGGTGCGTATATCGTTGTTAAAAGAGTCATAAAGCTAAAACAATTGCTACATGTATAATACCACAATTAAATGTATGAATCCTATATATATATACAACTGTTTATAGCATGTATTAGAATATTACAACAGTTAAATGGCAATTCAAGAAGAAAGCCCACCAAATCCTTGTCCAAATTATTAGTTGTATATCAACATGTAATTTTTTTAGAGCATGCATTTTCAATACATACGTTCGTATTTAGGTGGAATATCTTTATTCCTTGCATGTAATATATTGCAATTATCAAACACATCGAGAAGAGACAAAACGATGAATCATGTGTGCGTAAGGATGTAGGTCCTTTGCCTCCCACCACCGCTTGATTCATTTGTCATTTTTCCTCGTTGCATTTAATAGTCGAGACCTAAACGCAGTGAACCCCTTACCTTCCATCACCGATTAATACATTTGTCATTTTTGCTTCATTGGATCAAATTGTTGAGATTCAACTGTAGGATACGAGCTGTTGAACATGATAGATGCATTACAGAGATACCATCATATACAACTAGCACCTGAAGACTAGAGTAAGGTAAACTTCATAACTAGTAGGGGAATTGATGGCGACGAGATCGCACTTGCCTTCTTAGAGAAGGGGGATCGTCGACGTCATTAGTTACTATTTATTTATATCTTATTTAGTTGTTTTTCTATTTTACTTTATTTAGTTTTTTAAGTGAATTTTTATTTTTATTTTACTTATTCCTTTCTTAGTGGGTAAGTTAAGTATTTTAGGACTTGAGAATTCTATATATTTATCACTTCTATGTATTGGCCGATCAGTTTTGATGAATAAAAATACAGACTTCTGATATTTATCTCTTCTTGTTCTTTTTCATACATGCTCGATGTGTCAGAAAGGTATTGCTCTGTGGTGATGCCCTTAGGGATGAAGAATGCCGGTGCGACCTACCAGACATTAGTGGATAAGATGTTTCAAGGACAAATACGCCGTAATACGGAGGTTTATGAGGATGACATGTTGCTGAAAAGCAAGAAGGTTGTAGATCATCCATGTGATCTAAAGGAAACATTCGACACTTGGCTGAGGTACGGAATGAAGCTCAATCAGTCAAAGATTTTGGGGTTAGGCTCGGAAGGTTCTTAGCTTACGTCATGATGAAAAGTGGTATAGAGGTGAACCTCGAAGATGTTCGAGTTGTTCTCAACATGGCGCCGCCAAGAAATATTAAAGAGATCCATGTCTTGGCAGGTCACATAGCAATACTCCACAAGTTTATTGTAAAATTGCAGAGAAGAGTTTTCCTTTTTTTTTCAAATTTCGAAAAAGAGGTCGAAGTTTGAATGGAGTAAGAAGGCACAAGTCACTTTCGATAAATTAAAGGTCTTTCGAGAAGAATTACCATTGTTAACAAAGTCAGAGCCTGGTATCTACCTTATTCTATACATTTTCGTTGGTTCAATGGCGTTAAGCATGGTGTTGCTACGAGAAGTCGATAGCTCTCAGCGCCGATCTACTATACAAGCAAGGTCCTACAAAGAGTTGAGCTCAGATATTTAGATATAGAGAAAGTCTCCCTCATGTTAGTCATCACAACGCGAAAGTTGTGATCCTACTTCCTCAATCATAATATATTTGTGAAAACAAACTTCCATCTCGGGGGGACTATAGGTAGACCATCGGTGTTAGATCGTTTGGTGAAATGAGCAGTGGAGTTAAGCGAGTACATCATAGATATTGAGCCTCGGTGTACCATAAAGGTACGAGCATTGGCTGACTTCATTCAAGAATGCACGAGAGAAAAAGGGAAAGACTGAAGGGCTTACGTCGTCGACTTCTGGAGGGTCATGTTTGGTTTTGGTTTTAATCACCCCCGAAGGTGAACCACTCTATTTTGCGATCAACTTAGGGTTAAGGCCTCTAATAATGAGGCCAAGTATGAAGCATTGATAAAAGGAATACAGCTCGCCACTAGTGGAGGAATAAATGAGATGACGACCCATTTAGACTCTTAGCTGGTTGGCGAGCAAGTTATGGGTCGTTGAAAGGTACGAGACGAGCATATGGTTAGGTATGCTGGGGAGGTTCAGGGTCTTGTACAAGATTTCAAGAAGGTCGAGCTAATCTAAATACTTAGAAGGGAAAATTCTAGAGCATATTTGTTGGCACAAATGGCCAGCTCGAATGATGGATGTAAAAATAGGAGCATCACGATATTACACCAAGAACGCAGTATCCTCGGAGAGGTTATGTATTTGGATGAGAAGAAATATTGGTGAAAGTCGATCAGGGAATTGTTGCAAAGGAAAGTGGCATGGGGGAACAAAGGCTGATCGAGGTGCCCGACAATTGTCTAAATATTTTGAGCTACAGGGGATATTACAAAAGGTCGTATGTCGGACTTCACTTAAGATGTTTTTAAGAAGATGATGGGGAGAATGTACTGAAGGAGAACCATGAAGGATGTTGCGGAGCTCACGCAGGTGCATGAACTAAAGTTAAAAGGCTTTGACAGTAGAATCCCATTGTCCCATGATCCATGCTATGGCCATTGAACTGGTCCGACAATGCAAAAAATTCCAATGTCAAGGACAAATTTGGCATCTGCCTGCTGATCAGATGAACATCATGAGTACTCTGATCCCCTTTGCTCGGTGGGGTATTAACCTGGTGGGTCCTTTACCGACAAGATTAGGACAAAGAAAGTTCTTCATTGTAGCTGCGACTACATCAGTAAGTGGATCGAGGCAGAACCGCTAGCTCGCATCACAAAGGACAAAGTGGTCCATTTTTTTGTTTAACAACATATGTTGCCGATTTGGTGTTCTGAGGATCCTTGTTTCTGATAATGGTACGCAATATCCAGGAACTCAAGTGCGAGCTTGGTTTAAAGAGATGAAAATAGAGCAGCATTTAGTGTTTGTCGTACACCCTCAGGCCCACGGTCAGTTCGAGGTCACCAATAGAATCATTTTGAAAGGAGTAAAGAAAAGGCTCGAGCGGGCGTCTGGGGTGTAGGCTGACGAGCTCACTACTATGC